ATACTATAATATACTTATTGTCATCATTCACAACAGTATAGTAATGAAAGTAATAGTTAACATTAATCCAGTACAGAATACGTCACTATATGCCCTTTTATGGTGTACTACTGCACCTTTAAGTGACTATGCAAAATATAACATTATATCGCTATAACGCTGTAGCATCAAATAAACAGTAAATGCTGCATCCGAACACGGAATTATATGTCTAAATATACAACACAAAGAGGTCTATATCGACGTATAGATGGGCTAATTATTTACCCACAGAAAACATATTAACTATTACAGCACGCTCTGTTTCATGACTACACAAATCACACAGAATAAACGAGTTTGAATGAACATAAATAAAGTTCAAAGCATAGTATAAACATACAACAGTAGTCAGAACTTACTTGTTTTTCATAAAACGCACACAAAAGTAAAGGAAGGGGTCTCTGAGAATCCTCTCATCATCTCTGAGCGCGAATAACTGAGGCGCAAATATCTGAGGCGCGAATAACTTAGGCGCGCGCATTCCTTTCCAGGTGCAGTTCACGTGATGGAGCGCGAGCGCACTTAGGAAATATCAGCGCTGAACAAATAGGCTTTCAGACAAAGCCGCCCCCAACTGTCCGTATGGCAGTTGAAAGAATAGGAGAAAGTCTATTTGTTAGTCTCTTCTTCATCCTCGTCCTCCAGAGCTGGGAGCAGGATGATCCGGGCGACTGGACGAATGTAAGTACGGTCCTTCACTTGAACACTGATCGTTCGTACGCGTCCATCTGCTCCTGGATGAGTCTGGGTAATCCGTCCTACGGGCCATGACGCTCGAGGGAGTTGGGGATCCACAATTAAAACAACATCACCGATGGAGAGTGGCTTAACGTCTTTCCTCCACTTACTGCGTTCTTGTAGCCCTGGTAGGTAGTGGCTGATGAAGGATGACCAAAAGCGGTCAGCAATGACTTGACTGTGCCTCCAGCGTCTTCTCCCGAGGTCACTGGGGTCATAAACTGCTTGAGGAAGCGATGAGTCGTGTCGGCCCATTAAGAGGAGGTTAGGCGTGACCGGATCTGGATCAGAGGCATCTGATGACAAGTAGCCTAAGGGTTTCGCATTCATTATGCCCTCGACTTCTACTAGAATTGTCATTAGGACAGGTTCAGGAACAGTCTGATCTTTGAGGACAACACGAAGAGCAGTCTTGATAGACTTCACTTCCCTCTCCCATGTGCCACCAAAGTGCGGCGCACTTGGAGGATTGAATCGGAAGGATATCTGCTGTTCAGCGAGTTGCTCTCTCCACTGAGGTGCCATAGCAGCAACGGCCTCACGTAACTCTCTCTCTCCACCGACAAAGTTGGTACCATTGTCCATGAGGAGTTCGAACGGTCTGCCACGCCGAGAGATGAATCTCCTTAGTGACAGCAGGAAAGCATCTGTATCGAGGCTTTCCAATAGATCCAGATGCACCGAGCGAGTTGTCATGCATTTGTAGACAATGCCCCACCTCTTTTCAGTGCGGCGCCCGATCCGTACTTGGAAAGGCCCGAAGCAATCAACTCCAGTTGAATAGAACGGTGGCTTATGGAGTCGTAACCGAGCTGGTGGATAATCTGCCATCTTCGGTACATCAGGTTTTGCTCTCCATCGTCGGCACTCCAGACATGAATGCTGATGCTTTCGAATGGCCTCTCTACCACGGATAATCCAAAACCTGCGTCTGATCTCGGCAAGAACCCGTTCTGGCCCAGGGTGCAGTAGTGACTCATCAAAATCCTTGATGATAAGCTTTGTCACCGGATGGCTTGGGTCCAGGATAACTGGGTGGATAGTATCAGGGTCTAGTCCTTCAGCATGACTTAACCTGCCACCAACTTTGAGTAGCTCCGTGGCTCCTTTATATTCTGGTGACAGAGATGCAAGACGACTGTCTGACGGAAGAGTACGTCCAGCTTTGAGAGCCCTCAATTCTTCAGCAAAGCAGTCCTCTTGAACCTTCTGTAACATTAGCTTCTCTGCTTGCAGAAAATCGGCAGCGGAAAGGGGTACTGAAAGGAGCTAGCAGTTTCCTTAAGAAGCTCTTTCCAGCTGGAGAACTTACTGGGATCCGGAAGTGATGTGGGCAAGATGCTGGACACAGTTCCAACGAAGGCAGACTTTCTAAACTCGGTGGTGTCTAGTTCTGGCTCAAATAAGGGCATTTTGGGCCATTCCCTTTCAGACAAACGGAGAAAATGTGGACCTTTGTTCCAGCGATGATCCTGTACCATCTCTTGCAGAGTGAGTCCGCGGGTTATATCATCAGCTGGATTACTTAGAGTGTCAACATACCGCCATTGAACAGGGTTGGTCAGGTTCTGGATTTCTGCGATGCGTGTTCCCACAAACACTTTATAACGGCAAGATTCTGATTTGATCCAGTGCAGTACAGTTGTCGAGTCTGACCAAAGAGTGATATGCTCAGATGGTACTGCAAGCTCTGTCTCGATCAATCTAGCCAACTGTGCGCCTGTAAGCGCGGCACTGAGCTCAAGCCGTGGAATAGACAGCAGCTTACGGGGTGCAACTCTCGATCTAGCAAACACGAAGGAGACATAGACTTGCTGATCATAATCTGTCGTCTGCATGTAAGCTACTGATCCATAGGCGCGCTGCGAAGCATCACAGAAAATGTGAATGTGACGGGTTGCGTTGGCAGTATCGGCAATGGCTGGTGCATATGGACGAGGCAGCTTTAGATGTTGCAAAGTGGGAATTTCTTGCACCCAACTTGACCATTTCTCCAGAAGGTCAGCGGGTTGGATCTTGTCGTCCCAACCAATATTGGCCTTCCACATGTCCTGAACAAGCACTTTACATCTTGTCGTAAATGGCACAATGTATCCCAACGGATCGTAAAGCTTAGCAAGAACACTGTAGACATTACGCAGAGTAGTGTCTGAACATTCAGCTTGACGCTGTTTGTAACCCAGGGTATCATTCAAACAATCCCAGCAGAGTCCAAGCGTGGGTTCTTGGAGGTTGTCGCTGGCCTTGGATAGCCATAGCTCACTACTAGCTGACTGTGCTTCAGGAGGTAGATTTGCTACACCTTCAGGCATGTTACTAGCCCATTGCCGGATCTCGAAACCTCCCTTGTTCAGAAGCGCTCGTAGATCATCAACTAGAACCTTGGCATCCTCAGGTTTACTAACACTGTGGAGGCAATTGTCGACATAGAACGAGTGCTCGATCACGTGCATGAGAGGAGAATCTGGTGGCTCGTGATCTCTGATGTGCTGCTGCAGAGCAAAGACTGCACAACAGGGGCTACACGTCGTTCCGAATGGTAACACCTCCCATTGGAATATGCGTGGTTCCGATGTCCTCTGCATGTCACGCCACAGGAATCGTAGAAGTGGTTTGTCACTGGGTAACAAGCGGATCTGATGGAACATCGACTTAATATCTCCGCTGATGGCCACAGCATGACATCTGAACCGCATCAGGACTCCAATCATGGTCGGACCGAGCGTTGGTCCCGGCAGGAGTTGGTCATTCAGGGACAGGCCATTAAAGGAAAAGGAGCAGTTAAAGACCACTCTGTCCTTTCCATTGTGGTGCACCATATGATGAGGTACATACCACGACTCTGTGGACTTTGCTGCTTCTTCTGTTAAGATTTCTGCAACATAGCCAGACTGAACAAGTTTATCCATCTCCTTGCAGTATGAGGCTGCTCGCACAGGGTCCTTAGCCAACCGGCGCTCAGTGCTGCGTAGGTTTGGCATCACGGCATCTTGCTGAGCACAGAGTTTGATAAATGGCTGACGACGCAACAGTGGAGTAGCGTAGCGCTGGGTACCATCGACAGATACACGTTTGGAGGCTGTCTGTAAGAGGATGAGTGCCTGCTGGTCTTGCTTGGAACGCATTGCAGTCTTCTCACTGACATAGGGGACTGTGTCAATGTGCCAAAGACGTTCCACATTTCTGAGGAGTTCAGAATGCGAAGACTCAGTGGCGATGTGCAGACAGGAAGACTGGTGAGAAGAGACTGGCATAATGTCAGAAGGACCTTGCAAGGACCAACCTAGCCTCGTGCAGATGGCTATAGGACCACCAGATGGGCCTGCTCTGACTGGCTGGGTAGGAGTGAGAAGCTGAGGCATATCAGAACCGATGAGGAGCAGAGGTTGGGCTCTGTGGATAAGTGTCAAAGGAAGTCCTTTGAGATACTCATAGCGCTTCTGGAGAGCTTCTACTGGATACGTGTGTTCAGATAAGCTCAAACTGCTTGCTGTGAAAGCATGTGGAATCCAAAACTTCTTGTTTGGCTTGAAGATGGGGGATACATGAAAGCTAACTGAAGAACCTTTCAGCTCTTTCACCTCTTGCTGTACTGTCCTCAGATGAAGTGTCTCTGGATGCTGAGAGAGTTGTAGTTGCTTTACAGCCTGTGGAAGGATAATAGTTCTCTCCGATCCATCATCGAGCACTGCAAATGTCTCAAGAATGCGGTCTCCATGATGCAGAAGTACTTTGACAATCTTCAGCAACACTCTCTGAGGGCTTCTAGGCTGCTCAATGTAGACAATGGGCTTCGGATTTCTAACCATCAGCACTTTATGGGATGACTCTTGGATAACATCATGCAGGACTGTAAGGTGTTTCTCTTTGCAAAGCTTACATGGGCGTTTAAGGGTGCAGGCTGTAGCTTTGTGGCCGCGGCCGCATTTCCAACACCTATCACCTTCATGGATCCACCTCTTGATCTCAGCTGTACTCAGTTTCTTGAAGTCCGAGCATGAGTTAAGGTAGTGCTCCTTATTATTGCAAAACGGACAATAAGGACTGAGTTTGAAAGCTTGGGATTTCGAATGAAAAGTCTCCTTGTCAGCTGCCTCTCCAGAGCAGAGGAAGACTGATGCTGTTCTATCTTTGGACTTTTGGCTACGTTGATCTCGCTTTGGTAAGGTAGGCCCTGTAGAGTTATAGAGAAAAGTAGCACGACTGGCGAGACGCTTGGCTTAAGCCTTCATCTGGAGCCATGCAGCGAGGTCGGGCAAGGAGTAGGTGAGTTCTGAACCTGGCTGTAGTATGCCGCGAACGAGACAATATTCCACAAATCCATCTCTGTAGGAAGGAGACATTTTGCTTAAAAGACGGTCAACATGGGAACCACACTTGAGCTCGTATCCAACCGGTCCCTCTAAAGTGCGTAGCATACCGACAAGCGACTGCACCGAGAGGGCAAAGGAGTCAAATGCATCTGCGTCTCCTGACTTAATGGCTGGGGAGTTGAGGATTGCCCCAAGTTCACTTTGCACCAATTGTCTTGGCTGGCCATATTTATCTTGCAGAGCCCCCAATGCTGCTGTATACGGTGCAGGGTCATACATGTATGATTTGGCCAACTGCAGAGCACTCTGAAGTTTGAGCTGGCCCAGGAGAACTTGGTATTTATAGTGCTCGCTGAGATGAGGGTGACTATTCATCAAGTTGTCAAGCGCCATCTTCAAAAGTGCAAAATCACTTTCTTTGCCACTCTCGAAAAAAGGAAGTGTCGGTTTGGGAATGCCATAAGATGTAGCAATCAAGGTCTCCATACCCGGGTAAGTCCATGGTGATGTCATCTGAACTGGTGATGCAGCTGTAGGAGGTGGTGGTGCCATTATGAAACTTGTACTGGTAGTTGGAGCCCCTTGGTACTGAGACGGGAGACTAGTTGTGACAGAAGATCTTGTCATCGGCAACACTCCACCTTCCTGAGTAGTTACCATGGAGGGAATGGGAGCAAATGAGACGGGCGCAGATGGAAGTACAGAGACTGGTACTGCAATCGGTGCTGTGCTAACAGGAACACTGATTTGGGCACTTGTGACGGGACTAGCAGATGGTGCCAATACCTGATAAGGAACAGTGGAGGAAGATGCTACCTGAACTGGCGCTAGATTTGGTTGCTGTACAGGTGGGTACTGCATGGGAACCGATGGCACCAGAGGTGGCTGTTGAGTCAATGGTGATGACAGAGGTAACTTGGAGAATACAGCAGGAGCTGACGTAGACAATGATTCATTGTTCGTCCCTGTCAGGTAGGTCTTTACAAGACTGGCAATGTGTACCTCCTTCTCGAGTTTCTTCAAGCGCCTGCGTCTCCCCATTTCTCTAGCTATTCTCTCTTTAGCCAAATGTGCTTCCTCCTGTAGTCGCTGTCCTTCTCTGGCTTGTGCATCCAATGCTGCTGCTTCTAAGTCAGCTTTCCTTTCTTCTTCTATTTCCTGTTGCAGATCAGCTAGCTCCAATCCTTTGATCTCCTCCTCTAAAGCCGCTTCTTGTATATCAGACGTACTTCGAAACAGATGGAGTCCGTAAGATAACCGAGAGGACCGTCGTGACTGTGTAGCTGACCGATAACTTGTCAAACTCCTAGCCCTGGTTGACTGAGCCTGGTCTGGTTGTCCTACAGGCGTAGAGGAGGTTTGGACCACAGGCTGTTGAGAGGGCAGAAGAGTGACTTCGTACTGGGCCAAATGTGCAGGTGGACGGGTTTCTCTCTTGGGTCGATCCAATGACTCCAGCTGCTGACCTTCAGTTGATGACTCCATAGTGTCGAGGAAAACCCTAGCTCCGGCTCGAAGGACCAATGTAAAGTATGGACTAGTGGTTCTTTGTAGGATGGGAACACTACAGAAAGATTCCGGCCAGAGAATCCTTTATCATCCTTTTATTTCACAGACCAGGATGCCAATATACAAGTTTGCAAGTGTATCTGCTGTGTGTGTGTGTGTGGTCTAAACAGAAAGAAAGAAAAAATAAATAATGAAATGATAATAAACAAATAAAGAATACTATAATATACTTATTGTCATCATTCACAACAGTATAGTAATGAAAGTAATAGTTAACATTAATCCAGTACAGAATACGTCACTATATGCCCTTTTATGGTGTACTACTGCACCTTTAAGTGACTATGCAAAATATAACATTATATCGCTATAACGCTGTAGCATCAAATAAACAGTAAATGCTGCATCCGAACACGGAATTATATGTCTAAATATACAACACAAAGAGGTCTATATCGACGTATAGATGGGCTAATTATTTACCCACAGAAAACATATTAACTATTACAGCACGCTCTGTTTCATGACTACACAAATCACACAGAATAAACGAGTTTGAATGAACATAAATAAAGTTCAAAGCATAGTATAAACATACAACAGTAGTCAGAACTTACTTGTTTTTCATAAAACGCACACAAAAGTAAAGGAAGGGGTCTCTGAGAATCCTCTCATCATCTCTGAGCGCGAATAACTGAGGCGCAAATATCTGAGGCGCGAATAACTTAGGCGCGCGCATTCCTTTCCAGGTGCAGTTCACGTGATGGAGCGCGAGCGCACTTAGGAAATATCAGCGCTGAACAAATAGGCTTTCAGACAACATACATACATAATAAACACCATATTGTACATAATAAAAGTTATATTTTCATGATAAAAGAAGTTAAGAACACAGTTAAGTTAAGTTAAGTTAAGTTAAGAACATAATGATACTCAAGAAAAACAAGAGCATGTCTCCATCACAACACTCTTTACAGTAGTTTTAAATTTATTAATGGACATAAGGGTTTCTAACTTTAGCTCTTTTTGTAGATTATTCCACCCCCAAGGTGCTAAATAAGAGAAAGCAGTTCTTCCCAATTCGGTTGCAACTCGTGGCACGTTAAAAAGCAACCACTTCGAGGAGCGTAGCTGATAGGTACCGGAGCAGACAGAGAGGAGGTTACAGAGGTACAGTTGAAGTTTGCCAAGTATAGCTTTATAAATAAAGATATACCAGTGCTGTTGTCGGCGAATTTTAAGTGATGTCCAACCAACTAAATCATAAAGAATGCAGTGATGGGTGAGGGACTTTGTATTTGTTATGAATCGTAGTGATGCATGGTAAACTGAATCTACATGGCGCAAGATGGAAGATGCAGCATGCATGTACAATATATCTCCATAATCAATTACAGACAGAAAAGTAGCTTCCACAAGTTTCTTCTTAGCACTAAAAGTAAAACAAGATTTGTTTCTAAAATAGAAGCCAAGCTTGACTTTAAGTTTCTTGACTAAAACAGAAATATGTTCATTAAAGGAAAGCTTTTCATCTATCCATATCCCCAAGTATTTGTATGAAGACACTCTCTCAATTGATTTCCCATCTAAGGACAAGAGGCCACAGTTGTCAGGTAGTTGTGTTCGAGCTTTTGAGAAGACCATAAACTTTGTCTTCTGTGTATTTAAAACCAGTTTTAGACTGAATAATGTGCTTTGCAATGCCTGAAATGCAGTCTGAAGTTCCTGCACTGCTGCTAAAATGGTGGAAGCCTGAGTATAAATCACTGTATCATCAGCGTACAAATGTAATTTGGCTTGAACATCTCTATCCAAGTCATTTATAAAAATTGAAAACAGAATGGGTCCTAAGATTGATCCTTGAGGGACACCTTTGGTTATCTGAAGAAAATCTGATTTATAACCTTCAGCGTAAACACATTGAGTACGATCAACAAAGTAATTTTGGAACCATGCAACAGCCTTCTCACTTAAACCAATTGACCGTAATTTTGTCAATAACAATCCATGATCTACTGAATCAAATGCCTTAGAAAGATCAACAAATAATGCAGCAGCATGTTGCTTCTTATCTAAGGCCCCAATAATATAATTTATCACTAATGTAGCAGCAGTGATAGTGCTATGGCCACTTCTGAACCCTGACTGAAAATTATTTAAAATGTTTTGGTCAGCTAAATAGTGTTTTAACTGTACATTCACAAATGATTCCAAGATCTTTGACAAAGCAGAGAGTTTTGATATTGGACGGTAATTATTCAGTTCTGATGGGTCTCCACCTTTATGTAAAGGGAGGACATAGGCTGCTTTCCAACTTTTGGGAATAGAGTTGGAAAGAAGACTCAGATTAAAAATATGCGCTATAGGCTCAGCAATAATATCAGCTGCTACTTTTAACAGAAAGGGATCCAAATTATCTGGACCTGCTGACTTTTTGTGATCAAGATCTCTGAGGGCTTTATAAACTTCTGATACTGAAATTGGTTTAAAATTAAAAAATTCCAGATTTACATTTTCAGATGCTGACATAGCAGGGCATGGGACAGATTTATTTACGGTTTGATCAAATAAGAATCCAGCTTGAATAAAGTGTTTATTAAACTGATTGACTATGGCTGCTTTGTCTTTTATTTCCTCTGGACCACTGAGAATCTGTTCAGGGAGGTTTGAGGTCACACATGTACCCGACAAAGATTTAACTGTTTTCCAAAACTTTAAAGGGTTGTTTAAGTTTTCTGTGATTGATTTCAGATAAAAGTCAGATTTAGACTTTCTAATCATCAAAGTACACTTGTTTCTTACAGTTCTAAATGCAGTCCAATCAGCAGAAGAGTTGGAGAATCTAGCTTGTGCCCACATTTTATTTCTCAAACAGATTAACTCTGATAGGCTGTCTGAGAACCAATGGTTGTCCTTACCACTGATCCTAAACTTTTTGATTGGTGCATATTTATTTACAATGGAAATGAAAATTGAATGAAAAAAATCCCATGCCATTTCAGCATCTGAAAACAAAGACACCCTATTAAGATCACTGTGATACAGATCATGCAGAAAAGCCTGTTGTTCAAAGTTTTTAAAATGTCTTTTTAGGATGATGCGTGGTTTTGCCTTGGGGACTTTTGTATTTCTTACACAAGCGACTGCACAATGGTCACTGACGTCATTACAAAATACGGCAGTTGAGGTATATTTATGAACTGAATTTGTTATGATTAAATCAAGGAGAGTAGATTTTATTTCTGCTTTGGGATTTATTCTTGTTGGTTCATTAATAAGTTGCACTAAGTTTAAGTCATTACACAAGTCTTTAAAACAATCAGAGCTCCCAGAAAGCCAGTCCCAATTCATATCACCCATAAGAATAAATTCAGAGTCATTAATTTTATGTAATATTTTGGATATAGTTTGGAAAGCATCCTTTGACGCAGACGGAGGTCTATAGCAGTAGTTCCCAAAGTGGGGGTCGCGACCCCTCGGGGGGTCGCGGAGTGGGGAGCGGGGGGTCGCGAGATGATTTACAGAAACGTAATTTTTATATATATATATATGTGTGTGTGTGTGTGTGTTAAAAAAGGTTGTAATGATGCGAGTATAAATTTAGGATTATTTAAATAAACTGGAAATAAAACTTTGTTTGCTCTGATTATGTGTGACGTGTCAATCACAATTTACAGCACAACAACATGCGCTGGCTAGCTAGCTAGATGCACATCATTTGGTGTTTTGCTAAACAGCGATCGGTCTATTTTGAGATCTAAACTTGATAAAAAAATGAAACGGTGGTTATTATCATCAAAAGAGAACGAGAAGGGAGCAGAGATGCCTGCTGCTGATGAGAGAGTGGGATCAGCAGAAAATACAGAGGGCAGAGAAGAGGATGAGCCGCCAGGACAACCCTCCACTTCTGGAAGGGCAGCCCGCCAAACCCGTGCCCCGCAAAAGGACCATCCCTCCTCGAAAGCCAGAAAATACAGAGAGGAATACATAAACTATGGTTTCACGTGCATTGTTATAAATCAGGTACAACACCCTCAATGCGTTGTGTGCTCCGAAGTCCTCGCACATGAGAGTCTGAAGCCCGTGAAAATGCAAAGACACCTGAACACCAAACACCCCAGCCTCACAGATAAACCCACCGACTTTTTCCGCAGAAAGGAGAAACAGTTACAGGGACAAAAAAAAGTCATTTCTAAACAAACAGCTATCCCCGCTAAAGCTCAGAAGGCTTCATATGAAGTTGCATATTTAATTGCACAGAACAAAAAGCCACACACCATCGGAGAAACTTTAATCAAACCAGCAGCAATAGTTATGAGTCGCGTCATGCATGGAGATAAACTGGCCGCTGAGCTGGAACAAGTGCCGCTCTCTGATGGGACTGTATCCCGCCGCATTACAGACATGGCTCAGGATATCAAGTGTCAACTGATTGAAAGAGTGAAGAAGAGTGGGAGGTACGCCTTACAACTGGATGAATCCACAGACGTGTCAAGCACCGCTCAACTCCTTGTATTTGTCAGATATATTTTTGAGGGGAAACTAAATGAGGAAATGTTATTTTGTACGCAACTGGAGGGAACATGCACAGGCGAGGACATTTTCAATAAGCTGGACAGCAAACTTAAAGATGAAGGCCTATCTTGGGGCGAGTGCATATCAGTGTGCACAGACGGAGCTGGGGCAATGCTGGGAAAAAATAAAGGACTAAAGGCACGAGTCCTCCAAGTTGCACCTCACATCAACTTCACGCACTGCATCATACATAGAGAAGCCCTCGCATGCAAAACCCTGAATGCGGAGTTTAAACATGTTCTTGACACTGCTGTGAAGATTGTTAATTACATAAAATCACGTCCACTCAACACACGACTGTTTTCCACTCTCTGTAGTGAAATGGGATCAGAGCACAAAGGCCTGCTCCTACACACAGAAGTCAGGTGGCTGTCGCGAGGAAATGTGCTGAGACGCCTGTTCGAGCTGCGGGATGAGGTGCGCATTTTCCTCACAGACCAAAGATCTCCACTTGCTGAGCATCTGTCTGATGCTGACTGGGTGACAAGACTGGCATATTTGTCATGTATTTTTGAAAAACTCAACGGACTAAATGTGTCCCTGCAAGGTGAAAACACAAACATCTTGTACCTTAATGATAAAGTGCAGGCATTTACGAGAAAGCTGGTGCGTTGGAAAGAGAGAGTGGAAATGGGATGCATAGACATGTTTTCTGAGCTGGAAGAATTCATGGAGGAAAATGCACTCAGTGTTAACAGCATCAAGGTGTCTATTATGGCTCACCTTCAGTCCCTTTTGGATCACTTTCATAAGTATTTCCCTGAAGGAGACGCTCCCGACCAATATGACTGGATAAGGTCACCATTTAATGTAACCACAGCAAATCATCTGGGGTCTGATATGGAAGATGCGCTGATAGAACTTTCAACCGATCGAACCCTGAGGACGGCATTTGACAGCAAGACGCTGGACGAGTTCTGGGTTTCTGTCGCGCTGGAATATCCACAGTTGTCGAAAGCCGCGTTGGATGTACTCATGCAATTTGGCTCAACGTATTTATGCGAAAAGTCATTCTCCACGCTGACTTACATTAAGAATAAACACAGGTCACGGCTTAACGTGGAAGATGATCTACGGGTGGCGATCTCCAAAATTGAACCTAGAGTGGACCTGCTTTGCTCCGCGCATAGCGCCCATCCATCACATTAGGCTTTTTTCTGAATACAAAGTTATTGCTATGCGTGTTATATATATGAAGCTTGTTCGTATTCTGTCTGTAAGTATTTCAGTTATGGATATATTTGTTTTTGTCCATAATTGAACCTATAGTCAATGGACCTGCTTTTCTCCGTGCACAGCGCCCATCCATCACATTAGGCTTTTTTTTTTTTTTTTTTCTGAATACAAAGTTATTGTTGAATGCGTGTTATTTAGGCAGCTTGTTCGTATTCTGTCTGTAATTTCAGACAGTTATGGATGTATTTGTTTTTGTCCATAATTTGTCAATAAAATAGCCTGCCTGGCTTAGAGATTGTGTTCCTTTTTTTTTTTTTAGCTCTGTCTATGTAACCAAATCGCAAATCCTCACAAGCTGTCCGAGGGAAACACGGGGGTGGGTGGTGGGTGGGGGGGGGGGGTAGGGGTTGGGTCGTGGGTCGTCAGCAGTCTAATATTGGGGGTCGCGGTCTGAAAAGTTTGGGAACCCCTGGTCTATAGCACCCAACTACTGTAATAGCAGCGTCTTTTGAGATATTCACTTTCACGGTCAGAATTTCAAACTGTTTAGCTTTAGTTAATGACAGGGTTACAGAGCTTGTAAACTTAGATTTCACATATATGGCAACCCCACCTCCTTTGCCAACCCGATCAGTTCTGTAAACTTTAAAACCTTCAATAGAAATAAGTTCATCAGACACCGATTTTTTAAGCCAGGTTTCAGAGATAATAATGAAATCAGCATTGGTTATATTAGCCCAGATCTTAATCATATCCATTTTAGGGACAAGGCTTCTAACGTTTAAATGTATAAAACCAAGGCCATGTCTGCTTTTGAATTCTGAAGGAGTGGCCAAGGATTGTAAAGTGTTAGGAAGATCAGGAACAGGACCAGGATTGGGGTGAACATTACCAGATAACATCAATAAAAGCATAATCATACAACGTAGTTTTTGTTTGGCTGGGTGATGTTTGTCACCTCTTTCCTCTATGAACTGAGAAAAAGAGTAATCCGAGACAATAAAATGATCATTTAACAGTAGTAGCTTCTGGAAATGCAGGATCTTATTAGTTTGTGAATAATTATTTTGGTTACACAGGTTGATTTTCTGGTGGTGTATCTCATGATGATTTGTAAATGAAGTTGAGAAATGACCATAATTTAAGTGTAATAATATACTGCTTCTCATTTTGGGCTTGTCAAGTTCATCTAGTACAATACTGGACTGTAAAAGTATGAAGAGTATAAACAGATGCATGATGTCAAGTTACCAGGCTTGGTTGAAGACAGCCTTAACACAAGACAGCAGATGAACAGTACCTTAGAGTCAGAAAGTCAAGACTACAGGATGGAGGCTAGCAAGGAGACTTCCAGGTGAAAGCTGGCAAGCAGAGCTAATAGCAGCAAATTAGGAGAAGGGCTATCAGTAGCAGGCTAGCAGCAGGGCATCTAGAGGTTGGCTAGCTAGTGGGACTAGCAGTAGGACATCCAGGTGGTAGCTAGCAAGGGAAGCTAGCGGCAGGGCACCCAGATGGTGGTTATCAGGAACAGGCTAGCAGCAGGGCATCCAGTTGGTGGCTAGCAAGTGGAGCTAGCAGCAGGGCATCCAGTTGGTGGCTAGCAAGTGGAGCTAGCAACAGGGCATCCAGGTGGTGACTAGCAAGCAGAGCTATCAGCAGCAGGTTATGAAACAGGGCTACCAACAGCAGACTAGCAGTAATGTAAACCAGTAGCAGGGTAGCAGCAGGACATCCAGGAGGTGGCTAGCCGGGCTACTGACAGCAGACTAGCATAATAGATCATGCAGGTGGTGACTAGCTGCAAAGCTAGCTGCAGCAGGCTAACAAGCAGGGACTACCTGTAACAGACTGCTTAGCAGGATATCCAGGTGGTGGCTAGCAAGCAGGGCTACCAGGTAGTCAATGTCCAGGTTTTAAGTTCAAATTCAGCCTTATTCACGATTAAAATAATCCCAGTATGGAGGAAAATGTCCTGTTTTTCGAGAGTATACTCATTTGAGATTAAAAGACATAAAACATCACAAGAAAAAACTTGAATCTCGAGTTCTCAAACACTGAGATCCACACATGGGTGGAGATCGGCTGCCATCTTGGATTTGCGCTGCCATCTTGGATTTGCCAAGATGTAATCCAATTGTTTTTTATAAGGAATGGTATCGAGGATTAGTTCACATGATATAAAAATAGAAAATGCTTGTTTATAAATGAGTGGTAAAGAAGTAAATCAAGGATTAGTGAAGAAATTCTCCGGAGCTACAAACACAAACAACCGATCGCACGCGCATGCGTGAGATGTTGAACGTTTTGTTCTATTAACTTTGAAAAGATGATGATGTCGTCAATATAAACGAAACAAATCTTCCCTCTTAAATCAGACAGAACTCTCTCTATCAGACGCTGGAAGGTAGCAGCAGCATTTCTGAGCCCATACAGCATAGACTTCAATTGAAATAGCCCCTTGGTGGTGATAAAAGCAGTTTTTTCCTTACTCTGTTCCTCCATCTCCACCTGCCAGTATCCAGACTGAAGATCCAAGGAACTAAACCAAGAGGCTCCTTCCAAGGATTCAAGGATGTCATGGAGCGTCCGCCACTGTCTTGCTGTTCAGCCTCCTATAATCCACGCAGAACCTGTGTGAGCCATCAGGTTTGGGGACAAGGACCACCGGTGAAGACCACGGCGAGAAAGAAGGTTCGATAATATTGACTCGCAGCATCTGATCTACTTGCTCCTCTATAATCTGCTTTTTAAGAGGAGACACTCTGTACGCCTGGGATTTGAGCGCTATGTCATCACATAAGGTGATTTTGTGTTGTACAATTGAGGTCTTACCCAGGTTGTTGGAGGGGCCAGGCAGATCTCAACTTCAACAACTCCTCCTGATTGTCCGAGTCCCACATAGTGCTCTCGGGGAGAATGGAGAAGAGTTCTGGAAGTCTACCTGTGGATGGTATCGCATAGTATAAATTCAGCTTTGCATCCCTACGAGGAAGAACTTGACCCGCCGGGATCACAGGACCTGTTGGCATCTGTGATGGCAAGAAAGAGTAATAGGTGTTTCCTTTTTCAGATCTTAATCCATATCTGCCTTGTCCCACTTCCAGGACTGCTCCCGTGTCCCTCAGGAAATCCAAACCGGCAATAAGAGGACATGTGAGGTGAGTGTCTTTTAGGATATAAGTATCCAAACTGCATTCTTGGTCATGCCATTGAATCCTAATCTTTTGCAGATCTCTGGACTGGTGAATCGTGCCGTCCGCCATTATGAACCTCTGTGGACTGGAGATAACGACTGATGGAATCTCACCTTTCAACTGTACCACAGGCTTTCTTGCATTAACGTGTATGTGCTACCTGTGTCTAATACAGCCTTCACTTCTTTGCCGTTCACTCTTACAGGCACCATCAGAAGAGATGACACTGGATGGGGTTGTGCTAGTGTTACTCCAGCCAGGTTTTTGTGAGAGGTACGTTCAGCCGATTTCTTGTTGGTCTTTTCTTTACTGCTCTGAGTGCTGAATTTTTGCCAGTAGTCTTTGGCTCCGATGTGGTCCTTTTCCACCATAGAGCCAACCTTCACCAGCTGCTCAACCGAATTGACGGTTCCCCTCATACATCCCGCAACCCTGGGCTTGATGTTGTTTAGGGCTGAAACAATTCCTCGAGTTACTCGATTACAAAAATTCCTCGAGGCAAAAAATCTGCCTCGAAGCCTCGTTAAATTCCTATGACGCGCACTTTACGCGCACGCAGGGATCTGATTGTTTCAAACGGACCGTTGTTCAGGAAGCACACCATAGCGCATTATACATTTGACTTCATAAATGGCAGAGAATGTCTAAAGTTTGGGATCATTATATGTTTATAAAGAGAGAGAACAAGATGCAATGTGTCTGCAAAGTATACCTGGCAGGGCTGCCAACTCTCACGCATTCATCGTGAGACTCGCACAATTGAGCCAATTCTCACTCTCACGCCATACCCCCGATTTCTCAGGCTGAGGTGTCCATCCCTTCGGTCAAATGCCTGAAAGATGAGTTTGTCTATAGATCTACCTGTTGAGCCACTCGTGATCGACTAGTTTTACCGCCGCATATTAATTCGCAAGTTAAAATATGCTGTAATCTAGTGCGAGCGCGCATGCGAGATGTTGAGCTCCTAATCGCGGCTCGCGCACGACGGCAAAAGGTAAGCGAGCGCGTGCACCCATGTCTCTCTCACGCGCCAGTCAGACCAATTGCGGCAATTCATCATGCTTAAACTTTTATGTAGTCACGCAACAAAAATTTCAGCATACATTCACACTGTATACACCGGGACGTGATGGAGGAACAAATATTGTGAGACATACACACATACACACACTCTGATGTTTGTCTTGAGATTACATATGAAAAAGTCTGACTCTTATTTATAATTTTTTTTTTCCATTTATTATTTTATAAATTGTATACATTTGTATACCTGTTTGGGTTGATATTTTATATTAATTTATTTTTTGTTTCCAGGTGGGTAATTTGTAGAAGGTGCAATCCTTATTTTGTAATGTTGTATTAAGAAGACAAAACTGGCCAAATGGTCTTTACTATTTAAGTTTGTATTCAAAGTTTTACATGTTATGGGATACATGTAACTGCTTTTACAGTAAATTGTTTTAACTGTATTGTTATATAATTGTTGGCACTGGCACTTATAAACACTAAATGGGTAAAAATTGCAATAATTAGTTGTGGAGCCAAATGTTGGAGTTGGAATAAATACCTGTATTTTTTTTTTTTTTTTAAAGAAATAAAAGCCAAACACCTTATCATTTTTGTAATACATTATTTGTTTTGGTTGCTTAAAAACACACAAACAAATTATCCGATTAATCGATCGATTAAGTGCTAGATTAATCGATTACAAAAGGAATCGATAGCTGCAGCCCTAATGTTGTTAAGTATACGATTTACTAAGTCCTCCTCAGATATATC